ACTCAAGATGAAATGAAGATGGAATTGAAAAAAATGCCAACAACTCAACTAGAAAAATCAAAGGAAAGCCTTACAATTAGAAAGAATCAAGTAGAAAATTCTTGTCAATTATATGTGAAATGCAGTATTTAAAGGAAATTACATCACACATATTTTCTCACCTCAAAGAAACAAACTATTAATCAGTAACAAGAGAACTCTGGAAATTATATAAATGAATAAAACATATACAGTATGATCCTGAAAAAAACTTAAAAGAGAAAATAAGTTACATTGAAACAAAAAGGGGGAAATATTTTATTAAAGCTTACCAATTATTTTATCGATGTATTTATTTTTATTTTATCTGCATGAGTGTTTAGCCTGGAGATATAAATATATATATATATGTATATGTATATGTATATGTATATGTATATGTATATGTATATGTGTATATATATATATATATATATATATACATATACATATACATATATATATCGCATGTATGATGCCTGGTGTAACAGATGTTAGGAGACAGAGCTGGATCTCCTTGAAATGGAGTTAAAGGATGCTGTAAGCTACCATGTGGGTGTGTGGGTGCTAGAAACAAAGTCCATGTCCTTTAAAAAAGCATTAAGTCCTTTTAAACACCAAGCAATATCTTTAACCCTATCAATTGGCTTTCTTTAAAGAAAAACTTGTATGTATATATATAAATAATACAAGGATATATATATATATATATATACATATATATATATATATATATATGTTTCTTTGATGATGAGTAATATCTGTACTGACCTGTGGCCATAAAAATAAGTATTTAGAAAACAAATATGGAAACAACAGCTAGTGAAATTATGGAGAACGACGGACAATGTGTTTCCCAGGTCCAACTTAAATAACCATCACATAACCCATGTATTTGAAGCTCCAGAAATATTAAGGAAGAAGAAGAAAGATTTTAAGAACTAAGAGACCAAGAAGTCTACTGTCAGACTGCTTTCCAGCCATGACAAGAAAACTACTCCCATGAAATCTCAACAACATTGTTGCCTAAAGAAAATCTAAGCAATTCCAACAACAGCTGACATCCCAATGGAGATATGGAGAATCTCACAAGGTCTCACTCCTAGATGAAGAGCTACAGGCACGTAACTGCTGAGAAGAAAAGCTGGCTAGAAGAAGCTAAGGAGGAGGGCAACTCCATAGGAAGTCCAGCAGTCTCAACTAACCTGGACCCCTGAGATCACCACCAACCAGGCAACATACATGTGCTGGTCTGAGGCCCCTAACATATATACAGCAGAGGATTGCCTGGTCTGTCCTCAATGAGAGAAGATGCACCTAACCCTTGAGAGACTTGAGGCCCCAGGAAATGGGGAGGCATTGTGGGGTGTTGAGGGTGGGATTGTGGGAACATCCTCTTGGATACAGTGGAAGAGGAATGGGATGAGGAACTGCTGGATGGAAGAATAGGAGGGGGATAATGACTGGAGTGTAAAAAAAAAGGATTAAAGATTTGTTTAAAAAAAAAGAAAAAAATTAGTCTTTCCAAGGAACGAACATCCAATTACATATAGTCCATCCTAGAAACATATATGTACACATCACTATATGGTTTCAGTAGGATGTATTCATAAATTAATGGAAACCTCAGAGCACAGGAAGAGCCAATTGTGTGAGTTTAATGTTAGGCAAGACCAGTGTCCAGTGCAGAGGTTAAATTATTGGGGTGGAGCAGTTTCCTCTTATCTTTTCTGTCTTCTTCTAATCTTAAGTTGATTAATGATGACCACCTAAATCAAAGAAAGAAATCTGATTTACAAATGTGCCAATTTAAATCTTAACCTCACTCTCAAACTATCTCTTACATGCATACTCAGGGTAATGCTGGGAAAATGTCTAGGTATTGCAAGGACCAAGTCAAGTAACACATCAATTATTTATGACAATAAGTTGAAGACATTGGAACCCTTTATTCATTGCTGATAGGAATATAAAGTAATTCAATGACTATTGCACTTGGTATAGGAGTTCCTCAAAATGAATTTTGCTTGGTGTTTTGTTTGTTTAAGACTGTGTCTCTGTGCATTGTAACTTTAATTTCTTTTGAATCTTATTTTTAACGATGGTTCTTAAATGCTTTAACTTCCCATTTAGCCCACTACCTAATAAAGGTAGTGGAAAAGAAAGGGTAAGGGGAAAGTGAGCCTGTTTAGAAAGGTTCTTTGGAGCAACTCATCTGTATTGTCTGGAAATCAGCAGTTCATTTCACAAGAGTCAGCAGCTGCAGCTTGATCCACTCACAAATTCTTTATGGATACACCAGCAATCCAGTTAGGTAGAGTAAAGACAGCAAACAGGAATCAGCAATGATGGCATGACCTAGTAAAGACAGCCAGGCCTCAGCCTAGGCACAAGTCAGCAGGAGAGACTAGCAGGAAGTCCAGGAGAAGTTCTCAGTTATGCCTCTCTCAGCAATGGTAAGATCAGTGAAGACAGGAAACCCACAAGCATTGCACAGCTAGCTCTACCACCAAGCCAACCTTAGCCTCTATTACTGTCCATCAAGCTCTAATTAAACTCCCTCCAAATATCACTTGTCCTTCATAGGTCTTACTTCACCAATATCTCTTGCGTCAGCATGTGTCTTGCTCAACTGACATCACACCACCAATTATCCAGAGTCTGAGGAAGAAGCAAAAACCTACAGCATACCACCAGAAAATGTTTGATGTGTTTCTCTCTATGGATTCCCAACAAATGAAGCTCAACTACACAATGTTAGGTGGACCAATACATGTCATTAACAAATAATCTCTCATTAAGTGTCCTTTCATGTGCTTGCTTTAGCAGAACAACTTTTCTCCTGTGTTTGCTATAGTGAAACATTTCTTCATGAGTCTCTTTTAGCCTTTAACCTGTATCCAGTTCAGGGAAACACTCCTTCACGTATTTTCCCCAGCAAAATATCATACAACACAATTGATTCTCCAAAGAACCTCTAAGTTCCACTTCAGTACATAGCCCTGTTTATCCTGGAACTCACTATATAGACAAGGCTCACCTCAAACTCACAGAGACCCATCTACCTCTGCCTCTCAAGTGCTGGTATTAACGGAATGCACCAGACTACCAGGCTAAAAATGTTCAAAAATACTATCCTTTCAATCAGAAGCTCTAGAAGTTGATGTTGTTGAAATTAAAAATAAAGAACAAAGAGTTGGATATACTTATCCATAAAAGCAATGTTGACAATATAAAAAGTGTAGAAGCAACCCATCAAAAAAAGAATGATGAATTATATATATATATACATGCACACATATACACACATATATATAGTAAAATGACCTTGGGCATTTAAATTGAAGCTCCTCTAACACATATCACACATAATGAATACTAAGGACATTTTACTAAGAGAAATGAACCAGCTATAAATGTACAAATTCTCTATCATTGAGGTGTTTGCAACAGTCAACTCAATTGAGACATAGCATATACTAATGGCTTTCACTCAGATCCTGATTCTAAAGTCACACTTCTCTGATGCTACTTCTTTGACTCTTTTACATCCCTGTATAATTACTAGTATTTTTGTGAAGCCTAGCAAGATAGCCTTAGATGTTATTCCTATATAAGATCATCTGTTATTTACCTTAAATCTTTAACTTCTCATCTTTTGTGTTATCTAATATATGTGAAAATTTCAGGAGATATATATATATATGAGAGTCAGAATATTTTCCAGCTTCCTAATATCATGAGTGATTTGAAAATCCAGGAAATTGACCTTAATAGGTTTTCTTCCCCAAACTGTACTTGAACTTCTGACAAATTTGATATCTAAATTACAAAGACAGCAGAAACAACTAAAGAGCACTTTTAATCAAAACCTGCAATGTAAAGGAAAGCTCAACAGACTCTTAATAAGGAATCATGTGCCATTTATAACTAATGCTTACCAAAATCCAGATATACTTAGAAACCTAGTATGTAGGCAAGATACTCTAGTGACTAAGCAAGTCAGAAATGATTAAATACATGTTTATAGATGAATAAATGATATAAATAACTCCTATACAAACAACCTTCCCTGAGTTGCAAATTTATAAAATGAGTACAAGTATAATAACATTCTCTATTACTATAGATATGGATACAATTGATTGAATAGTATTATCAGGTACCAGTATATATCTAGTTAAGTAGCAGGTCAGTGATATAACTTTGTTCCCTCAAAGGTAAAAGAACTGAAACAGTTTCTTAACCTTTAAAATCTCCAAAAATGCAATTATACATTTCCCAAGACAGTGACAACTTTCATTTAGAAGCCTATACTTTCTGCTTATATACAGACATAACAGTATCCTGTTTCCTACACTTTCTATCAGTACCTTTTTGCCTTATTAAACAGTTTTAAAATTTCTCTAAGAATGAAAAGTGCTAAGCAAAGCAATTTACAACTCATTCTTGCATACTACTTCTCATTTAAATGTTCAAATCCTATTAAACCCAATCACTCATTAATATCAATATCCTTGAGAAGTTAAGTGGTAATTTACCCTGATTTCATAGAAAAGGGGGGAAAGAATTAAAAGGACTTTGCCTATAATTAAATTACTGTACTCATATAAGCATATCCTTACTGCTGTTCTATTTCTATTTCTCTAGTAGCAAAAGAGAAAGCAAATACCCACAAGATTCTTCCATTTCTGCTTGTAAAAATAACATTCACACCAATTCATTATTGTGAAAAGAAAAAAAGTGTATGATTCCCTCACCACCTCTCCTTTTTTAGGGCAAAATTCTTCCAAAAAATTGGTGAGCAACATACTCAATTGATAAGATTTTTGATTTTAGCAGAAGGAGAAAAGAATTTGAATGTATACTCTTTTATCTAACCACTCGATGAATACTTGTGACAGCATTTTGAGTCTTGAGTATGATATGTGTAAACTGGAAGTGAGAATAATAATAGGTATATCTCAGAATTTGTTAAATAAGTGCTTTTTAGGCAGCACATACACTAAAATTGGAATGGTACAGAGAAGATTAGCATGGCCTCTGTGCAAAGATGACACACAATTTCATGAAGCATTCCATATTTTTTCGTATCCTCATAGAAGCAGGAGGAAGGGGGATGGGATAGGGGATTCCTGGGTGGGGGGGAATGAGGAAAGGGGCCACAAATCCTTTCAGCTCCTTCAGTCGTCTCTCTAACTCCTACATTGGGAACCCCATAATCAGTTCAACAGTTAGCTGTGATCATCCACCTCTGTATATGTCAGGCTCTGGCAGACCTCTAATGAGACAGCTATATCAGGCTCCTGTCAGCATGCACTTCACAGCATCCACAACAGTGTCTGCCTTTTGTGACTGCACATGGGACAGACACTGAGGTGGAACAGTCTCCAGACAGCCCCTACTTCTGGTTTTATCCGACACTTTGTCTCCATATTTGCTCCCATGAGTATTTTGTTAAATTTTCTGAGAAGGATCGAAGCACCCATACTTTGGTCTTCCTTCTTCATGAGCTTCATGACGCCTGTGAGTTGTATCTTGGGTATTGTAAGCTTTTGGGATAATATCCAATTATCAGTGAGTGCATACCATATGTGTTCTTTTGTGATTGGGTTACCTCACTCAGTATATTTTCTAGTTTCATCCGTTTGCCTAACAATTTCATAAATTCATTGTTTTTAATAGACAAGTAGTACTCTACTGTGTAAATGTACCACATTTTCTGTATCCATTCCCCTGTGGAAGGACATCTGGGTTCTTTCTAGCTTCTGGCTATTATAAATAAGGCTGCTATGAACATAGTGGAGCATATGCCCTTGTTATATGTTAGAGCATCTTTTAGGTATATGCCTAGGAGTGATATAGCTAGGTCCTCAGGTAATACTATGTCCAATTTTCTTATGAATCACAAGACTGATTTCCACAGTGGTGTACCAGCTGGCAATCCCATCAACAATGGAGGAGTGTTCCTCTTTCTCCACAACCTCACCAGCATCTGCTATCACCTGAGTTTTTGATCTTAGTCATTCTGACTGGTGTGTGGTAGAATTTCAGGGTTGTTTTGATATGCATTTCCCTGATGACTAAGGATGTTGAACATTTCTTTAGGTGCTTCTCAGATGAGAATTCTTTATTTAGCTCTAAACCTCATTTTTAGAAGGGTTATTTTGTTGTTTGGAGTCTAATTTGTTGAATTCTTTGTATGTATTATTTATTAACCCTCTATGGGATATAGGATTGGTAAAGATCTTTTCCCAATCTATTGGTTGTCATGTTGTCCTATTGGCAGTGTCCTTTTTTTATAGAAGCTTTGCAATTTTATGAAGTCCCGTTTGTCAATTTTTGATCTTAGAGATAAACAGGCTAAGAAAGAAATTAGGGAAACTACATCTTTACAATAGTAACAAATAATATAAAATATTTTGGTGTGAATCTAACCAAGCAAGTGAATGATCTGTATGACCAGAACTTCAAGTTTCTGAAGAAAGAAATTGAAGAAGGTCTCAGAAGATGGAAAGATCTCCCTTGCTCAGGAATTGGCAGGAATAAGAGAGGAACAATGGCCATCTTGCCAAAAAGCAATCTGTAGATTCAATGCAATTCCCATTAAAATCTCAACTCAATTATCAAAGTTAGAAAAAGAAATTCTCTAATTCATTTGGAATAGCAAAAAAAAAAAAAAAAAGAACTATACTCAACAATAAAAGAACTTCTGGGGAAATCATCATCCCTGACCTCACACTGTACTACAGAACAATAGGGATAAAAACTGCATGGTATTGGTACAGAGACAGGCAAGAACATTAATGGAATAGAATCGAAGACCCAGAAATGAACTCACACACCTATGGTCACTTGATGTTTGACAAAAAAGCTAAAACCAGCCAGTGGAAAAAGGACAGCATTTTCAAAAAATGGTGCTGGTTAAACTGGAGGTCAGCATGTAGAAGAATGCAAATTGATCCTGTGGTTTTTTTTAATGAATGTTTTATTTATATTTCATATGTTGTCCCCTTACCCCATCCCCCATCCACCTAGGAACCCCCTATCCCTTCACCCCTCCTCCTGCATCTCTGTCGATCTACCCCAACATACTCACACCACTCCCACCCTCACACCCTCAAATTCCCACACCCTGGGGCATCCAGCCTTCATGAGACCAAGGATCTCTTCTCCCACCTATGCCCAGCAGGGCCCTCCACTATTATATATACAGCTGAAGCCATGGATCCCTCCCTAAGTGCTCCCAGGCTGGTGGTTTAGACTCTAGGAACTCTGGTTGGTTGATATTGTTGCTCTCCTCATGGGGCCTCAAAACCTTTCAGCTCCTACAGTCTTCACTGTGACTCCTCCATTGGGAACCCCATGATCAGATCAAAGGTTAGCTGTGAGTATCTGCCTGTGAATATGTCAGACTCTTGCAGACCTCTGAGGAGACATCCATATCAGGCTCTTATCAGCATGAACTTCCTGCCTTCCACATTAGTATTTACCTTTGGTGACTGCACATGGGATGGATACTCAGGTGGAATGGTCTTCAGACGGCTCCTTCTTCAGTTTCTGTCCCTCACTTTGTCTCCATATTTGCTCCCTTGAGTATTTTGTAACTCCTTCTAAGAAGGACCAAATCACCCCCACTTGGTCTTCCTTCTTCATGAGCTTCATGTGGCCTATGAGTTGAATCTTGGGTATTTCAAGGTTCTGGGCTAATATCTAGTAATCTATGAGTGAATACTATGTGTGTTCTTTGGTGATTGGCTTACCTCACTCAGGATGATATTTTCTAGTTCCATTCATTTACCTAGGAATTTCTCGAATTGATTATTTTTAATAGCTGAGTAATACTCCACTGTGTAAATATACCACATTTTTTTGTATCCATTCCTCAGTTGAAGGACATCTTGGTTCTTTCCAGCTTCTGGTTATTATAAATAAGGCTGCTACCAACATAGTTGAGCATATGTCCTTGTTATATGTTAGAGCATCTTCTGGGTATATGCCTAGGAGTGGTGTAACTGGATCCTTAGGTAATGCTATGTCCAATTTTCTAAGGAGCCGCCAGACTGATTTCTAAAGTGGTTGCACTATCTTGCAGTCCCACCAACAATGGAGGAGTGTTCCTCTTTCTCCATACCCTCCACAGCATCTACTATCACCTGAGTTTTTAATCTTAGCCATTCTGACTGGTATGAGATGGAATATCAGGGTTGTTTTGATTTGAATTTCCCTGATGACTAAGGATACTGAACATTTCTTTAGGTGCTTCTCAGCCATTCGAGTTTCCTCAGCAATAGGTCTGTCATACATGTATACTAACACCAAGTCTTCAGTCTCAGTGGAAAAACATTGAAACAGATGGCTATAAGCTAATGTAAACAGGAAGCTTTTGTGGAAATTTACAAGCCTGAGTAGTCATAGACCTTGTAAATAGGTAGCCTTGGCAGACAATACCAACTTAGATAAGGACAAGCGAGTCATAGGCAGAGTCATAGTGACTTGTCCCTTGAACCTTCACTTAGCCGATACCCAGTTCTGTAAGATATCTGTATTCCTCCTGAACAGCCACACTCCAGTGTCATTCCCTTCCCCACATCCGACCTTTCTGTGTTTATAACCCCTGTGTGAATGAATTATGATTTGAGAAAAAATAAATTATTAACAAAAAGAAGAAAAGTCTTTGTTAAGCTCTAAAACCCATTTTTGTAATAGGGTTATTTGGTTGTCTGGAGTCTAATTTCTTGAGATCGTTGTATATATTGGATATTAGCCCTCTATCAGATGCAGGATTGGTAAAGATCTTTTCCCAATTTGTTGGTTGTTGTTTTGTCCTATTGACAGTGTCCTTTTCCTTATAGAAACTTTGCAATTTTATGAAGTCCCATTTGTCAATTCTTGATCTTAAAGCATATGCCATTGGTGTACTGTGCCCAAGTATTCGAGGTTCTTCCCCATCTTCTCTTCTATTAGTTTCAGTGTATCTGGTTTTATGTGGAGGTTCTTTATCCATTTAGACTTGAGTTTTGTACGAGGAGATAAGAATGGATCAATTTGTCTTCTTCTACATGTTGTCCTCCAGTTGAATCAGCACCATTTGTTGAAAATGCTGTCCTTTTTCCACTGGACAGTTTTAGCACCTTTGTCAAAGATCAAGTGACCATAGGTGTGTGGGTTCATTTCTGGGTCTTCAATTCTGTTACATTGATCTTCCTACCTGTCTCTGTACCAATACCATGTAGTTTTTATCACTATTGCTCTGTAGTACAGTTTGAGGTCAGGGATGGTGATTTCTCCAGAAGTTCTTTTATTGTTGAGAATAGTTTTTGCTATCCTGGGTTTTTTGCTATTCCAAATGAATTTGAGAATTTCCTTTTCTATCTCTGTGAAGAACTGAGTTGGGATTTTAATGGGAATTGAATTGAATCTGTAGATTGCTTTTGGCAAGATGGCCATTTTTATTATATTAATCCTGTCAATCAATGAGCATGGGAGATCTTTCCATCTTCTGAGATCTTCTTTGATTTCTTTCTTCAGGGCTTTGAAGTTCTTGTCATGCAGGTCTTTCACTTGCTTGGTTAGATTCACACCAAGGTATTTCATATTATTTGCGAGTATTGTGAAGGTTGTCATTTCCCTAATTTCTTTTTCAGTCTGTTTATCTTTCATGTAGAGGTAGGCTACTGATTGTTTGAGTTGATTTTATAACCAGCCACTTTGCTGAAGTTGTTTACCAGGTTTGTGAGTTCTCTGGTGGAAGTTTTGGTGTCACATAAGTATACTATCATATCATCTGCAAATAGTGATATTTGACTTCTTCCTTTCCTATTTGTATCCCTTTGACTTCTTTTTGTTGTCTAATTGCTATGGCTAGGACATCCAGTACTATATGGAATAGATAGGGGAAGAGTAGGCAGCCTTGTCTAGTCCCTGATCTTAGTGGGATTCCTTCAAGTTTCTCTCCATTTAGTTTGATGTTGGCTACTGGTTTGCTATAATTTTTTTTACTATGTTTTGGTATGGGCCTTGAATTCCTGATATTTCCAAGACTTTTATCCTGAAGGGATGTTGAATTTTGTCAAATGCTTTCTCAG